AGCTAAAGAGAAAAGTGGTAAAATTGTATATTCCAGTTGAGAAGGTACCTATACCAGTTGAGAAATAGCATATGCTGGTTCAAAAAGGGTGTATGTCAAAACAGGGGTATATGCCAGATAAGACTTGGCGAATAAAGTGAGAAAGATTTTCCTCACTTCAAAGTGCTTTTCAATGAAAGAAATGTCTTTTATTTGAATTCTGAATGTATTTTTGATTGATGGTTGGCCACACACACGTACAGTAGGTGGCAGTAACCAGTTGTGTGTAAACAAAGTTGAAGAAGCAGAACTCTTTTTTTGTTTATGTCAGACTGTGGCTAAGCTAATGCTTAGCAAATCAATTGCGATCAACTACATGCTGTCGTTTTTAGAATAATGAATGTTTAGTGTTTTCCCAAACACAAGACCGTGTTTTTCACCTTTTTTGTTTTTTACTTTTTTCACTATTTTTCAACTGAGGTGAATACATTTGAGGTTAAAGAGGCATTTCATTAATTTTAATCAGCTAAAGTGTCTTCAGTCTAGATAAAAACTGGAAATACAGATTCCATCTAATGAGTAGCAATTTAGGTCCTAGGCTACCAAGTTTTATTTGAACAACATAACCACTTTCAAGAAAGCATGAGTTTCCTCATCTTTTGCCCTGTTTGTCTCTCGTGTTTAGGCCAGACTTATAATGTCCCTTGGACGACATGTTGATTTTTCATCTTCTGTAGCTCTGCAAGGGAGAGTTTACCTCCATGGTGCACCCAAAATATTATTGGTCAGATGTCGAGTGCTGACAATTACTTATCCAGCAGATTACAGCTTCTCTCCTTCCGCCTCACAGTATAGCGCATGTGTACAACAGGGTGCATCCATTGCGCACATGTGATACCAGGTGTAAAATGTGGCCCCGATGGAAGATGCGACTCTATGTACTGTACAGTACATAGGAACGTATAGGGAAAAATGGTATATTGCATATAAAATGGTATATTGCATATACCATTTTTCAAAAGTGGCATGACTGATACGACTTTTGGCTGTAGGTGCTACTACCTGTCTAAGCTCCTGAACTTGTCTCCCCTTACCTCTGTTGTCAAGGTGATTCCTCTCCCTGTTTTGGGCACTGTGAACAAAACAAACATGGACCAAGCACAGGAGAAAGATGCATGTCCCTTTTAAGAAAAACCCATCAAAAATGCAACAACTGGAGCTTGAAATGGTCTTGTTTACAATTTAATTCTGAGCTTTCCTGAGTGACAGGTGAAAGTGTAGTTTACATAAATATAGATTTTATAAGTCTGTGCAGGATATAGATTTTATATAGGCCTAACTAGCCGCAGTCCCATTCAAGCCTAATGGTGGTCTCTACAGTCACTAGTTTGTCAGCTCTGGCTGCTATAAAGCAAAGTATCTTCCTCCATACATGCGTGGCCTGCTCCTGTAATTATAAATAACAGTTTCTAAGGCAACACAAACATAAAGATTTTTACACTTCAATTTAATTGATGATAATGAATAATATACTTGTATGTATAATTATATTACATATCTGCCAGTAAATCCTTGTAATTATTACAAACTGTAGCTTTGAAAAAACTCAAAGTAAAAAAAAAAGGAATGTTTCATTGGTATTTCTGTTAGAATAAATTTGATAGTCCAAATACCCAGACTCATTTGACTGTTGTAAAACTCAATTGACCCTGACCTTTGTGTTTTACCAGCCTGTTGGAAACTCATTCTACAATATTATTTTCCTTTCTGTAGACAGGACCCACTTATAGACACAAACTTAGAAATAGTAATTAAGAGTAAAATCTCTTTTAATCCATCAAATGACGCACAAAAATCTAAACCCTTTTTAAACCCCTTTTTCCACAAAAAAAACATCTTTAGCTAAGATAATGACGGAAGTTCTTTGGAAATCTCAGAGTTAAGACAAGGTTCTACATTGTGGGGCGTTTTGTTGTTGTTTTTCATGCACACAGACACATCACAAAGTTATCAAATAAAATTGGCATTGTCTTGTTGTGACTGCAGCATAGCCACATGTACTAAATGTATCTTGTCAGGTTCATGAACTCTGGCCCAATCGCAGTTAGTCCTGAAGTCTGTTTTAACAGAAATAACTCTCCCGGCAAAAAAATGTTAGAATCTTTGACATCTTGTTTGACCTCAGAGTCACAGTTATGTTCATACTTTCTGTCACAAGAGCATTTCACAATCTTACATAAAATTTTGTGTGCTTTGACAAACTGCACTTTGGCATCCAGTTGCTGTGACATAATGGAACATGGATATAGGTCAAACTGGTTTTTGTTTTCTATGAATAGATTTCCTGCTTTAGTAGTACAAAAAAAAAAATGCTTTCTGCACTTTGTGGAAATTAAACTTAGTCCTGCTTTCCCAGCTGCAGATCTTATTGAAGTAAATAGAGAGGAGATAAAATAGGTTCCTAAATTAGAGATTGGGGAAAAAGAGGAAAATATACTGGCAGACTCACACTTTTATATTTCCAACTCTTCAACAAGCCCATGCTTTAAATAACTGAGAAAAATGCATCCTCACCAGTATTCTACCTTAAAGAGCCAATGTGTGCCTCAGACAGCCACTGATAAGACTTCCATTAGGACTGGTATTCAAAGCCATTGCACTGCTTAATGCACTCCTCTGGCCTGGCTACAAAACCACCATATCTTATCCTCCATAGACCAGTTAACGAGCCTGTGTTTGGTCCCCGACAGGTGCAAGAGTGTCTGAAACCTCAGGCAGACTCCAAAGGGTCGCTGCTGAGAAAGTGGTGAGGCACTGATGTGTTGTCAACTCTTCAGGAGCTGTTAATGGCCTTACTGAGACTACCTCTAAGAGATTTGCAGAATACCATTGAGCATTAAGAAAAGGGAATAATAAAAGATGTGAATAATAAAAAAAAAAAAAAAAAAAAAAAAAAAAAAAAAACAGACTTTCATTTCCCTTTGGTATTCAAATAGTTTAACAGAAATGTCGCTGAGAACTGGTATTCCATTTGATATTTCTAGATAAAATTCTGTAATCAATAAATAGAATACATAATTCTTAATTCAATAACAGATACACTAAGGGGCTGTATGTATGCTAGAGATTGTTTTCCATTTTTGTTAGAGAATAGTGAACAAAAACCACAGTATGAAACTTATGTGAATATGTGGTAGAGAACTTTATGATTATAAGGTGTTATACCACAGTTTAAATATCTAACAGAGGACTTAAAATGAAAAAGATATGACATAACTACTACTGCATAAAACACAGCTACTCATTAATCAACATTAATCTGAGAAGAAGCAAAGTTGCCATTCGTAAGTTTGTTTGAGGTCCAGATCCAGAGCAATAGAAAGGAGAATCTGTTGACGGGACATCTATGAGTTGTTCATGCTACTGTACTAATATGGTCTTTATAAAGAGGAAGTCCCATTTGTTTTCTGCCACAAGGTTTAAAAGAAGTTTGGCATATAGTTAACAGTAACATTCTCAAAGCAAGCCTATTAGGGAGTAAAGGAGACCTGAGGTAAGGACAGAGGTTCACTGTCCTGTGGGATATTAACACTGTATCTGCTGCCAGAGCTACAGTGAGCTGAATTAAAACAAAACATTGCAGGTGCTTAAATAAAAGAGCAAAGTACTTCTTGTTTCTTAATGCTTAGTCCCACAACCAAAAGGTTACTTGAAATCTGAAGAAGAAAAAAAAAGTTGGAAGCCTTAGGTTTAGATTCAGATTAATTACACTTAATGTCTTTTGAGGCAATGACCCAATGACACAGTCCATTTGGGTCAATGTTGGAGCCGGTGTCACTTGTAAGTTACATCCTAACGATCCCAAATGTTGGTTATTTCAGTCCTATGTCTTAAAGTGTGAATGCTGTTAAAACCACCTGGCACCTGGGTCAAGACTGCACTGCTGGTGTTGGAAAGATGAAAGCCAAACCCCAATTCTCTGTTACAGCCAACAAAAAGATATGTCTATGTCTTTGAGCTGTAATTGGGCGTGCAAAGACTTTGCCTGGTCTTTCAACTGGCCATCTATCACGCAAAAGTCAAATATACATCCCCTGAAAGATAGCTTTGCTCCGTATCCTCTGATCCTTTGTAACCTCTCTGTAAGTTAAAGGATGCACATTAGCAAATGTTGCAGAAATCCTACTTGACCGTTGAACTGAATTTTAGTTGGATCCGATTTCCTAGAAGTGGCAGCAGGTGTAAACTCAGTAAAAATAGTTTTCACTTGACTGACACATATAAAGATAATATTTTGAAACTATTTATCAAAGACAAATTGTAGACATCACATAAAAAACCCTTAAGCAGTGGTTTTTACAGTTTTCAGATCAACTGTAATGACAGTTTTAGCTGACAACATAAGTGCATTGTTCCCTTGGAGTAAATAAGCTACTCAGCAGAAATTTAACACATCTGTCTCCTATTGGTAGAGTTAAGTAGAGCAAGAAGCAGCTGACTCCAGATTATACATTTTGAACACTTCAATAGCTTTGTGATCAAACAGTCCAAATTTCTTTTCTGTGTGAACTTGTGTGGTCTAAATGTGCCAAAGTATTACATGCACAAAAGGCTTTGCAGCACAGTGAATGCTAAGAAGGAAAAAAAGAATAGTAGTCTCTTTAAAATAATGATGAGCTCTATAATATTCTTACTGTTCAGTGGTAACTCTGCTTTTTTCTCTGCCCTGTTTATAGGGAGAGTCATTTTCCCCTTTTCAGAGTTTAACAAAGCGGAGTCCTTTAAAAGGTCAAGCCTTCTTAGCTAAGATTTACACAGAATAATGAGTCATGTCAGGGGTCCCTTCATCTGCTGACAATCACAGGCTCCTGTTACACAATGGGTCAATGGAGAATGAAACATCCTTCACAAAGTCATTTTGTTTTTTTGGAAATATACAATCCATAATTTACTAAAGAAACCACATGAGGCTTGTTAATGGCATATGCAGGGGTCTTTAAAAGGTATTGCAAACTCAGGGATTTTGAGGAAACTTTTATATTCAGTCTTTATTCTTTAACAAAAAGGCAAAACATACAAAGAGGAAACATCAATTTACAGCCTGCACACAAAACACAATATTTCACTTTTTATTATGAGCACTTACATAGAATGACAGTCGACTAAACCATGTAAGAGGTCATCAACATTTACTTTAAATTCAAAGTAAACATTGCAAGAATTCAAGTAGCTTTAATAGTTACTTACTTTCTCCTGTACTCTTACCTGAGGTCCATTGGGTATTCTCAAATGTGTTATTTGGGATGATTGCAGTGTCTTGCAAAAGTATTGATATGAAAAGGGTTGATATTTCTACCTGCTTATTCTAGTAGGGTTGTAAAGGAACTGGCTTTTTATCTGCAGCAGTCACTGAGTGTGAGGTGAGGTACACCACGGACACAATCTAACTCCATTGCATTTCAACACAGAGGCCTCTTTCCCACTGAAATTAGTGGGTAAACTTGGGTTTTTCGAACTGCTAACAATTGCCATTTGGCTTCCTTCCCAATGGCAATAAAGACATGTCTAACTCCCCCATGGGCAAGATGCGTGGCCTCTGTCCTCCCACTGCTGTGTGTTTGGTGACTCCATCACGCTAAGCTAGCATTGATAATGTCATCAGTGCAACAGAAATCAGGACAGAAATCAGGAGAGCAATATGTATAGAGGCCAGGATGTAGTAAGTGTGCTTTAATGTTCTGCTGTTTTCTCTGTTCTAATCCCTCACACCAGTGCTGCTCCATGTTTATCCAATGTAAACAATTGTTTCAGCTTATTAGATCAAACGTGAAGTGTCTTGCCCAAGGACACTATGACACTGAAAGCCGCAGCCTGAACCGAAAACCCTCCGGTTGCAGGCCAAACCCCTTTATCAGATGCCACTGTCGCTACAGTGACGTCTGGATCGTGTATTCAGGCTTCAGTATTAGTTTACCAAAGTTTGTTTGAAACTTTACTGTTTGTTTTCTCCTGTTTTTACAAATCTCAGATGCCTTTAGACAATAGCTGTACTCATATAGAGTTTAAATAACAAGCAGTGGATTTTATTCAGAGATGAAACAGTAAAAGGACTGAACTGTTTTCACTTTACTTGGTCAAACCCCTCAAAAATACCTCAAAATATTTGAAGGATGTGTATACTCTTGCAAGGCACTGCATCAAAACCCAAACCAATTACAAAACCAACAATCTAGAAACATCCATTTAGTACCTCTCTTTTTTTTTCTCTATCTTTCAATCACCTTTGTAACTGATGGGTGTTCAAATGTACAGTGTCATAGAAAAATAACTGGTTCTTTATTTACAACATCAACAGTAATACAAACATGTTCACAGCATTATTTACATTTGTTTCCTGATTCCATTATAGCAGTGCAAATCAAGTCTCTCTCACATTCCTATGGGTAACACTCTGTTGTTAAATCATGAATGGGATAGTTAACATTTTTGAGATATGGCTGTTGTTCATATGCATATAATATGGATTTTATCGAAAATAAAAAAGTGAAAACAAAAACGTGCTTAAATAGCAAGCTTTGCATAAACAGACACTTATTAAACATCTGGCTCCAGTAGTTTGATTTCTCATGATTCCTTCTGAGAAACATCTCCAAAAACATTACTTTCAAAATTCATTCTACTATGATGAGGCTCATTGTTTTCTCTTTCTTTCTTTTCTTGCTTAACAAAATTATCTAAAAAATAACTTCAAAATATTAAACAAAATGGGCATTATCCAAAAAAAACTAAAAATCCTTCTCAATGACCCTTCAAACTGGATAGGTTTTTTATACTTTGTTCTGTTTCTTTATTTTTCTGACGAAGAGAATAATTGTTGATTTTTTATTTTTTATTTTTTTACCTTCCACAGTATGACATCAGGAAGATGCATCAACAGTAATTAATTTTTTAAGTTTTTCTTATGGTAGAGTTATGTAAAAATTCAACCGCCTTTTAAATTTTTTGAAATAGAATGGAATAGTTGGGTAAAGTTTATAAACATGAATATGGATCGAGGTGCCTGATTAGCAGCTGATTTAGGCAATATGCGATTAGAATCATAATAAACTTCACAGGTTCTGTTCTAGAGTGAGGATGCTAAAAGGGAAATGTATTTTAGAGCCACAAAACTATGAACTTACAGCAAAGAAGTATATTTTAAATGTCTTTTTGGACAAAAAAGGAGTCTTTGAGGCCACACTGTAAAAGATAACAGTGGGGCAAAAAAGTATTTAGTAAGAATGTCCTGATACAACTTTTTCAGTCCGATATGATACTGATGTAGCTTTGGTAATGACCGATACAGATATCAACCAGATACGATATCTGCACAAATCATAAAAATTTTTATCACATATATTACATTGATATTGGACCGATTTTATATATATATATATCAGCTCGGGATATCCCTAGTGCTTGTGCAAGCTATCCTACTTAAAAAATCAGAGATGAAGTTTTCATTATAAGTACATCCCTACTACAGTAGGAGACACAAATGAGAAAAAAAAAATCCAGGATTTTGAATTAAGTTATTTAAAATAATGGTGGAAAATAGGTATTTGCTCATCAGCAAACAAGCAAGATCTCTGGCCATCTCAAACCTGTAACTTCCTATTTAGAAAACACTTCAGTCTTTCACTTTTTACCTGGATTAACAGCGCCTGTTAGAATTCATTAAATATTTATATAAAATACACCTGCCCCTAGCCTCAAACAAGTCAGAATCTGAACTCAAGGATGGCCATGATCGAAGGGCTGTTAAAAGACACTAGGAAGAACGTTGTAGACCTGCACCAGGCTGGGAGAACTGAATCTACTATAGGCGAGCAGGTTGCTGTGAAGAAATCAACCGAGTTAGTGACAGAGGGGAAAGGGTTTTTTCATTTATGAACCTCATTGACAGACTTCAGGACCCAGACGACTGTTACAAAATGTTTAAAATATAAATTTTGCCATAAAAAAACGGGACCTTTACAGAAGCAATAAACAGGGCCATGTATTGTGAGATTTTTAAGCCAACCCTCCTTCCATCAATGAGAGCATTGACAATGGAACAAAGCTGGGTCTTCTAGGATGATGATAATCCCAAACACACCACTCTGTTAACGAAGTCCCTAGCTGGACTCCAGACTTCAAATCCATAGAAAAGTCTGTGTTCCCCACTGATCTTTATTCATTGGATTGCTGATAGCCCAAAAAAGGGAAGTTACCTGCCGCCATCTTGGCACACCCAATCTCATGGAGTCAAGCTATAAAAATGCCTACCTGTGTAGCATTTGGTGGCAAAAGCAAGCAGTTTTGTCTCTTTGGAAATATGTTTCACAGGTCATTTTACAGTCAATGGATGTACTAACCAAGAAAAAAATAATTCATACACCAATGTATCCTATAGTATAGTATGTAGTGTAACATTAGTCTGGCTATCTCGGACCCACTTGAAGACATTGACTGAGCAAGTCAGTGAATAAATAGAGATTAGTGGTATTCCCCAGCAGAAGCCCAAAAACATCATGTCATTGCCAACAAACATTATACAACAAAGTATTGAGTTGAACTTTTGTTTTGAACCACATACTTATTCTCCACCATAATATACAAATGGATTCTTAAAAACTCCTACAGTTTATGGGTATTCTTCCTCATTATTTGTCTCTTTCAGTTAAAGTGTATCTATCTATTGTAGACCACTCTCATTTTTCTAGAAAACATTTTTTTGCCCCACACTATAGATGATGAAGTACCAGTTACAAAGTGAGATTGACCTTGCTTATGGGGACCTTGTCAAATGGTTTGGTCACATATTGACAACAAAAAAAAAACAGATTGACCATTGCATATGTTCTCAAAATTCATGCTATTTCATGAAAAAATGGGGATGGCTTATGACAGTAGCTATTAGGCAATCTTGCTTTCCCTGCTGCTTCAGATTTTGGCCAGTTCAGACTGTTAAGGTCTCCGTACTAATCTGTTCCCAAGACTTTCTCACCATTTGTTAAATCACAAAAAAGAAAAATGGGGGGGATTTTCATGATCTCATTTTTTAACAGGTATTTGTGTTCTTTTTTGGCCAGCCATTGTTTTACTTTAAAACATGTCCATGGTTGTCATGACTAAAATGCACTCTCCTGGGCTTCAGATGTTTTGTGTACCTTACAACCAACTGAGGCACTTTTAGAGTAATATTGTTAGCCAATCCTGGAAAGGTTCACAATTTTCTTCTCTCCACATATGCATACTGTACATAATTCCTTTTAAGTGATTCTTATAAGCCTCACTAATACCAGGCCTGAGTGTTTTAGCAAAGCTGAACCAAATAATGAGGTTAATCAAATGTATTGACTGATTTAACAAGAGGTACAACTCTTATCTTTCAGTTTTTTATTGAATTGCCTTCTCTATATTGTGTGTTTCATAGCAACAATTTCATGGGTCACCATCTGATCATGGGCTGTTATCTCTGTATGCTTTATAAAATGAAAAACCATGTTTACAGACGAGACCTGACAAATGGGGGGAGGTATGCATCTAGGGGGAAAAGGAAAATGTATAAGTTTGTCTTTCTGTTTTTGGAAAAGGAAATTAATCTAACCAAACATTTTTATTTTAATACCAAAGGAAACCTAAATAAATAAAAATAGTACCTTGTGTTTGGTCACCATATTTTCTTACTGAATCCATCCTATCAAACTAAGGCTGGACCTTTTTTTATTTTTTATCTGGGCAAAGGAGAAAGTGATGATATAAAACGATGAACAGCAAACCAGCTGTGCTAAGATTTTACCACCATTAGATGCACTCAATAACACCACAGACTATGTTTGGATAGTTCAATATTTAACCAGCTCTTCTGTTTACTTGTTTAACTTTCAGCACAGCGGCAGCTACAAGCAAATGCTTCCATGTTCCGTATGCTCAGGCCCCATGCAATATTCTCCCAGCCTGTACACCACCTAAAGCTGCATCTTATTGTGAGGTCAGAAAGGCAGGTGGGGCTTTGCTTAAACCTTAGGCCAGCTGTAACAGGATATGACTCCATAGAGAAAGTTAAGCCTCAGCTGCGCTCCAGCTTCTTTATGACTGGTGGCCAGGCAGCTGCAGGAGGAAGCATAGATTGTTAAGATCCACCTGGTGAGGGTCTGGATGGAGGACAGGTTAGAAGCAGGAAGAGGTGGGACTGATGATGAGGGATCAGATGCTCAGCGTCATGTTACGAAGCAGCCACTGCTGGGAGCGGCTACCGCTGCAGTCTCTCAGGGTGGGGGCCATCTTGTCCTCCTCAGATGGCATGTCCAAACACTGGTTGCTATTAACGTGGAGCAGTGTGAGGTGCTGAGGAGAGAAGAGTGGGAAACAGGTCATTGCCAGTGTAAACTTATTATAAACCTACAAAAAAAACAATAAAAAAACACCCATATAGGAAGCTTTAAATAGAAAGAGAAAAGAATTAGATTTGAAATTAAGAACAAGCATGAGAACGAGAGATTAAAACTGCGTCATATCATTTATAGAAAAATTAGAGAGTGAATGAAGACTGTAAGTGAATATTAATTTTGAAATCTTGCCACAGATTCTCAACAATATGGTACATGTATATATGCAGTTATAGACTTGTAGGTTATACCAGAGAAAACAGGCCTGACTACAAAGGCATGTCATTATTTTATATGTTAAAAGGTAAACAAAACAAAAGAAAACATGCCATTTTCTCTTCCACTGTGTAATTATAAACCTTGTAGCCTCTGACCTGTATGACAACCATGTTGGAGCAAACACAGCTAAGGTTTCTAAACTGTGTTCACCTGGAGGAAACCGCTACTACAGCTACCACACCATACCAAGGCCAGGAGGCTGCCAACACCGTGATCACAAAAGAGGTGAAGAAGGATATTGAGGAATTGAAAACTTTGCTTAACATGACAGGTCAGCAACTTGTACTAGTCTCTGAACAACAGAACATTATCGTGGGATTTATGAAGGACTTTTAGAATCTGAGGCTATGTTCACATTGCAGGCCTTGATGCTCAATTCCGATTTTTTTGTGAAATCCAAATTTTTTTTTCGCATTGCTGTTAATATTTCCAGATATATGTGACTTGTATGTGATCTCCTGTGTGAACTGCAGTCATACAACGCAAGTGTCCCGCTTGTGCAGTAGAGGATGCAATGACGTTACAGGCCAGCGTGCTCTGTGTTTACGGAAGTAAACATGGATGGTAGTGCCGGCGCGAATCTAGCGGTCTTTTCCAACCATAAAAACACAATCTTTTCAATATGTTTAAACATAAATACTGCTCTCCGCATCATCATCTGCCAAGGTTTTTGTTTTTCTTGCTGCTTCTGCATAGCAAGAGGCATAATAGCGACCTTTGTCGGGTATTAATGACGTTCACGTCAGATGAATCCGATCTGGCCGTTCAGACGCAGGTCGCATTTTAAAAGATCAGATTCATATCGGATTCAGGACCACATAGCCAAGTGGCCTGGGTCAGATTTGAAAAAATCGGATCTGTGTTGTTCAGAAAGCCATGAAAAGATCAGATCCAGGTCGCATATGGGCAAAAAAAATCGGATTTGGGTTGCTTCAGGCTGCAGTGTGAACGTAGCCTGAAAAGGGTCAACCAGGAACAACAAAACAGAAATTGCTTTTGGAGACACAAGTGGCTGGCTTGGAACAGTACAAAAGAATTTAAAAAGTAACTGTATCTGGAATAACACTAAAACCACCGTCTTTTGCACATGCACTGATGGGACTAGGCAGAGGACAACAATGACCAGGATAATTCAGTGAAGGCTCAAATGACTCTTCTCTCCAGAATAAAAACATTCATGAGAGATTTGTTAATAGAAAAAACAAAGAGGACTGGCTGAGGCAAGGCAAAAATTAAAAGGACCAAATGTGTACATAAATGAGCAAAAGTATATGCTGAACTGGCTAAAAGGGCAAGGTTTCTGAGAAAACCGGGTTAAATTATGGCAACATGCTCCTCCAACTGCATGGTATATGTTAAGATGAATGGCACACCACAAGAGGCTGGAATTATCTGTATAAAAAGTTCAGAACAGTTGGAAAAGCTTTTTAATAGCAAAGGAAATCTGCAAAATGGTGGTAAATGCATGTGCAAAAATGCAAACACTCGGTTCAAAAATATCTAGAATCTTCCACTTATGTTATTAAAATGGTGTTACCACAAAAGGAATAGAAATCTTTTTATTGAACAGTTTAAATTACAAAGTTAGTGAATTTTCCTCTAAATTACAATACAATATTCACATAATGGCTGTTAGAGAAATATACTTGGATGAAACTGTAGTCGATAATACTTTGTTGATTGATGGATGCAATTTATTTTTACTCAATAGAAATAGATTTATTCTAAGTCAAGTTATTCTAGGCATGTCTGGCATAGAAGCCCTCTTGCTTCAAATGCATCTCCCACATCAAAAACCTGTTCTACTCTGTTGCATGTACAGACAACCAAGTTGTAACATCAAACAGTTAATGTTGGGAGCTGGAGAAGTTCCACCTTTCTCCAGCAGAGTCCGCCGTGGATCCTCCTGAGTGAGCCTTCTGCACAGCTGCAGCCCATCAGATCATCAGAGGATCCACTACTTAAGCTGTCTTCAGACCTTGCCTCAACGCCGCAGTGTTGATCCAGTTGGTCAGCGCCTAAGCCTAGACTCTCAGTGAATCTTTGTGACTTTGAATCCAGCCTGGATTCTAACCCTTGTCTCTGTCTTCCAGGAAACCAGTTTCTCCTTTGTGGAGCTCAGGAAGAGCTAACCTGCCGAGCCTACCCTCAGAGCCAAACCTGAAGAACCTCAGTGAACTTTTCATGCAGCTCAGGACTAAGAGCTGGGAAAACCCAAAACCAAGGTCTGCCCAGTTCTAGAAGTAAGACGCTGAAGCAGCTAGCGGACTCTGCTGATCAACTCCTCTCCAGATCCAACAGTGACCCTCTCAAAGTTATCTACAAGAACCCTCAAGGTACAATCAGTAACAATCAAGAACGCAAGCTCCAAAGTGCAACGCTAACTGAACTGTCTCTCACGCAGACTCCGGTGAACCAGTTTCCAGGCCCGAACCAGAACCAGTCAAATCAGTGTGCTTGTGAACAAATAAACTTGTTAACTTTTACTCCTGTGTCCGTCTAGTGGTGTTCTGCATATTTGGGTCACTCTTAGTGTACCCATCATGACAGTTAAGTTATATATGCACAAAGATACAGAAAGCTGCAGATACAAATCATGAAATGTTTATTCTTGCAAATATTAATATTGATTGGCTTTCTGGTTATTGTACGATGAAGGCAACTCTGAGCATTACGATCACTATACGATAGTGAATTCACCAACGAGAATCAAGACCAACAGACATGGGGTGACAACATTCACACATATAGATCATATCCTTACAACTTATAGAGAAAAATGTTTTAGTATTATTTCCGAACCAGTCGGCTTTAGTGATTACAAAATCATTGCTCTGATTTCTAAACCAAAGAGCCAACAATGACACCTACAGTAATTTATAAGAGAATGTATAAATCTTTTTCTAAAACTGGTTTTATTTGTCATGTGGAAAATCTACTGAGGGATGTAGTGTTACAGAGCACACAGGCAGAGCAGGCACTGAGTATATTTTGCAAATTGTTTTCAGCAGTGTATAGTCAACTCGCCCAATAAGGAAACTTTCTGTGGGATACATCAAGTCTCCATGGTTGGACTAGGATTTAAAGTAGTTAAAGGGCAAAAGAAAAAAAATATTAGTTAAGAACCACTGAGTGGGCAAAAAAAGCAGACTCATCATCACCTTACCTGTCCTAGTAAACTGATGTGTTGTAAACTGATGTTTATTCTGACATCCAGCATGCTTATAAAGTAGGTATTGCATTTCTGGACTTAAGTGCAGCCTTTGATTTTTGATATTTCACTTTTACTTGAGATGTTATCCAAACATGGATTTAAAGGTCATACATTAGGTTTCATCAGTAGTTATTTGATAAACAAATAGCAGTGTAGTAAACATTGTTAATTTCAACGTTTCATTTTGTTTTAGACACTATAAGCCTTGTGTGTGGAATTCTGCAAGGCAGCTGTCTCGGTCCCTTGCGCTACAGTATTTATGTGAATGATATGTCATATGTGATGCAGAAGTCCTGTATGACTGTCTATGCAGATGATACAACTGTATGTTTTATTATTCATTCAATTTCAGGTTAATATTATCCTACAACAAGAGCTATAATTTGTTGTTTGAGTGGGTAGTGAAGAACAGGTCAAAACTGAATGTGGTGAAAACAAAGTGACTGAGGTTACTAGATATGCTCTAGATATAACATGAGAGATGCACCAATGTTAACTCTAACTTTACAAGACCAATCTATATAGCAGGTGATTGAAATTAAACTGTTGAATGTTACTTTAGATCAAACAATGTCCTGGTCTTCACAAAAAGTAGTAATAACACTGTGAATAAAATAAGCAGAAACGGCTAATTAATTAAATGCAATAGCAATTATATGTTGATCAGAAAAAGGAAATTAATAATATAGTATTTAGTTTAATGTCACTTGGACTATTCCTCTATTTTGTGGTCAAATGCTGCTGAAAAAGACCCCCGGCAGACTCCAGATGGCTCAGAATCGGGCAGCAAGCCTGAGACGTACATTTCAGACTGGTGTTTCTGTCTTGCTTCAGATACTGTTGTGGATGAAAGTCAAAGATTGGTTGCTTGTTATTTTTTTGGTGTTTCTGCATTAAAACTAGACTTTTCACAAACCCTTTGGCATGTACTGTACTTTAAACTAGAGTTTACTTCTAGCAGACAGATACCACAGATACAGATAATACAAGACAAGCTGTTTCTCTGACGACACAATGTATGTTTTTGCTATTTGTTTTTTTTCTTTCTTTTTTGATGTTTTGTTGTCTTTTTCATTAATGTCATTTCTACTCTAACTTTGTTGTATGTATTTATTGTCATGTTTGTAATTTAAAATGGACCACAGGAGGAGTAGTCTCTACTCTGGTAGAGACTAATGAGGATCCTGAAGTAAATAAGGAAAAAAACTAAATATAAACCACTTTTTGTTGGTGCATAACATAACAGACTAATATAGCACATTTATATTTGGCATTTATGGATATAATGCGACAAAAAAAAGCGTTACAAGGACTTGAATGTCACTGGATGTGTATCCAGGATATTTAAAATGATATTTTCATTTCAAAATATATTTGTGTATAATATATATGTGTTTTGATAAATATGGACCCAAAATCAACAAAGAACACACAGGCCATATCATACATCACAGGCCAATTGTGGC